TCCTGCGAGCTCGACTGCAGCGTCGGGGATCCGCGGGTTGAGCCACGTCTCCGTGATGAATATAATACTGCAGTTACGTACAAAACTCGTAGTTGCCATCTGTAGCTCCAATTCGTCCATTTTGTGGGTGATGGATCTGGCGTTGGAGAGGAAGAGGCTCGGTAGTGCTGGCCGATGTGGTTGTTTACGTAGCCTCGCATCTGAGCCCGACCGGCATCCCCGCTTCTGCTTCCTCTCTCTCCGCCGCCTTTTGCGCCTGCTGGGCGGGCTGACCATCCACGGAGACCCCGGTGGTCTCGCTATGTCCTCCGGTATATTGTGTGTATTGTGTGTAGATTGTAGTAGATCAGATTAGATTGGATTAGATTAGAATGGAGTGGATTAGAACAGATTAGATTAGATTATAGTAGATTAGATTAGATCAGATTGCATTAGATTAGATTTTAGTAGATTAGATAGGATAGGATTGGATTAGATTAGATCAGATTATATTGGAGTGGATTTGAACAGATTAGATTAGATTAGATTAGATTAGATTAGATTAGATTAGATTAGATTAGATTAGATTAGATTAGATTAGATTAGATTAGAATTTTATTGATCCCACACTGGGGAAATTGTTGGGCATCTCACCATGACATGAACCGTAGCAGGAGGGTTAGCGACACGCTGCGCTGCTATGCCTAACAGACCCGCAGTCGCTAACAGGGTGAATCACAGACACCATCATCAACCTTGGTTCTGACCAGGACTCTTTTACATCCCGGACATCCATCCGTACCATGTGACCCTGTCCCGGTCCATGTGACCATAGACCATGGACCATGGACCGTGGTTGCTGTGAACACTCACCCACTACAGTCAGCAGCATGTTGTCCAGCAGCAGAGCCACACATACGACCACCAGGACCAGTCTGGGAGAACCTCGACTCTGGTGAAGCCACGCCATGTCTATGCTGACGACACACACGTTAACGTAGCAACTGTCTGGTTATTTTACTGATATTTACACACACACACACACCGGACAGTGGGGTCAGAAAACCCTGTCAAAATGCCACTTACGAAGTTGTGTTTATACCACCCCCTATAGGGCATGGAAGGAAGCGACATATTTTTATATTTATTTAAATTTATTTTTGGGTGTGGGTGATGTTTAAGAATAAATGTTCCGACAACTAAACACAGTTCTTTCATATCTTAGTTGATCTTTAATAAAACTGCACCACTGACCTCTGGTGTTTGATGTGTAAAGTACAGTGTGTTTACACATTACTGAAGTAGTCCATGTTATTTCTTGTTTTTTCTGTACGATTTAATCTGTTTTGACTCCAAATATTTTGTTCCATCTTTTTTCATCCTAAACCATCTGATTTAATTCGATTCAGCGCTGACGACTAGGAATGTCCGATATTAACTTTTTCGCCAATATCCAATATTGTCCATTATTGTCCAAAAAAACTATAATTTCTGATACCGATATAGGCCGTGGTAATATTTATTTATTTATCTGTACAAACCACTGTATGAGTATGAGATTAATAAAATGAGCTGCAATGCTGCCATCTAGTGACTGTCATCTTAATATACAGCCGTTTTCCCCCAAAATTATTGTTAGGGCACACATCATTTGGGGAAATCCAGGCATTGCGTTATCGGGTTTTCATTATCGGAGGAAAAACCGATAACGATTCTTACAGATATTATATAATATGCTAATATTGGCTAGCCGATATTTTCCGATATTATCGGACATCCTCAGTGACGACACATTTACAGACGATACTCTAAGTTACTGGTTGTTTAGCTACTCACATAACGCCAGTGTTTTTCAACCTCAGCGTCACAACCCCACGTGGGCTCGTCTCAAATGTCTAGTAATTGATAAAAAAAATTCTGATAAAAACGAATTTTTGTCCGAAATTTGAGATGTGAAAATGGCCTCATAAGTCAAAAAAACGTTGCGAACCATTCACTAATTATTTCTTTATGACCTTTTTAATTATCTAATATTACAAGAGTAGTTACGGTATGTTTGTTTATGAGGTTTGTTTTGGGATCGGAGCTTCCTGTACCACAGGTCTTTGACGTGGACGTGCTGATTTTAGAGGCTCTTTCCTCTGGGTCTAACATCATTTACACACACTCACACACTTTTTACTTTTTACTTCACCCCTCTCTCTCTCTCTCAACCCCACTGTCCCCTTATCTCTCTCGCTCTTCCATTATTTCTCTGTCTTCTTATTGTGTGATTATAAACAGAAATCCATACAGAATATATATATATATAAAATATATATAAAATCTAAAATGTATAACATTAAGTATAATAAATGATTGTAAAAAACCTTTTTCAAAAAAATACAAAAATACTTTAGTATAGAAGTAACTTATTTTTTTACATTTTTGGATAGAATCCAAATCATATTATTATCAACTCAATAAAAAAAAGAAATCTTAAATATATTCTGAATTATTTATAATATAATTTACCAAACAAAACAATCTATAGGAACTTCTTCCACAAACACTTAAATAACAGAATAAAAAAAACCCCAAACATTAAATATATATATTGGATAAACAGTTAGAGAAGAACTGAAAAACCCTTCTGGGTCCTACCTGGGCAACTGATGCTCTTCTTCTTCAGCTGGTGCTGTTGATGGACTGAGTATATATATGTGTGTGGCCTCAGGGGAGGAGAGACGGAGAGGCAGATAAGGACGGAGGAGACGAGGAAAGGAGGCCCAGAGAGGGAGGAGGAAGAGGAGGAAGAGGCTTTATACATTGATAATAATGGAAACAGACAATATGAACACACACACACAATATAACGTACAAATGGAAGACCCTTTGACCTCAGTGTGTGTGTGTGTGTGTAGATGTGTGTCCAAGATAAGGTCCCCAGTCCGCACGTTGTCCCAGGGCTTCAATAAAGGGAGAGCAGATGCTCACAATTAGTGGCACAAACACACACACACACACACACACACCAGAACAAATAATCCAAACAAAATACATCAGATACCTGTATGTGTGTGTCTCAGTTCAGGAGCAGCAGTTTCCTGGTGGAGATAATGTCACTGAGGCCTCAGGGCCCAAAGAGCGCCCCCTTCAGTTTACGCACACACACACTAAGAGACACAAAAAAAATACATATTTATTATTAGTAGTTTAATATATATATATATTTTTTCATTCTTTACTTGTCAGGGTCATGTGACAATAATCTCACCTTCGACCTCGTGGTGATGATGTAAGCGCGGCGACAGGTGGGGCGAGGACCCAGGTCTCAGGTAGCAAACTGTGAGCGGTCAGGCAGGTTGTTTACACATCACTGGTGCTGAATAAATACTCCACCAACCTTTTAACTGTAAGGCGGTGATCCTCAACCAGTGGCCCGTGGGCCAAATCCGGCCCGCCGGACCATCCCACCACGGCACGTGACTGGATTTGGAAATAAACACCAAATAATATATATATATTTTTTATATAATAATGTTATTAATGTTATTTGAGCGTACTGCTTTAAAAAAAAAAAATAGAAGGGGAAAATTCACGCTAACAATTTTTTTATGGCTGTGTGGCCAAAAAAATTATTATATTAAATGTGCAATGGCTTAGTGCATTGTTTCCCAAAGACTGGGTCACGGCCCTCAGATGGGTCGCAAGATTTTTTTGGGGGGTCGTCTAGCATGATGTTTGCCAGGAGTTTACAAATAATAGAAACTATTATAAAAAATAAAAAAATTGTGGTAAAAAAGTTTGGACTTTTTATTGTTGAAAAATGAGCGAGTTACTGTAGGGATTAAGATTAGACTGACAGACAGAGACACAGACAGAGACACAGACACAGACACAGACACAGACAGAGTCATCAACTCTGACTGCAGGACAACAGGACAAGAACCGGAGATCAAAGGAAGGAATTTCAAACAGAATTCCAAAATGGCTTCCTCATCGGAATGATCCTTGTTTGGGCCACTCAGGATGAAAGTGGCAGGTTAAAAGGTAGGTGGGCGGAGTTGGTAACCCTTTACCATCAAAATGACATTTAATTATATGCTTGGCCCCCTTAGCGGCAGAGCTAAACGCCTACGCTTTTCATCCATGCCACAAGACGCTAGTGGAAGCTAACCAAGCTATTATTAAGATTTCTGTCACAAAGCAAAAAAGTAATCTGATAAAAAAAAATAATAATAATTTTTTTTGGAGCAGAGTGTTAATTAATAATAATGACCCTAAACATAAAAAATTAGTTTTTAGAACTGTTTTGATGACAGTTATCCAGGAGTGTTGGTCAACAGCGGTCAGCTTCAGTGATGCTAAATTAGCTTCTCTGGCTAGTACAAAATACATGGGATATGAGTTCTAAATTCAATTGAAGATGCTATTACTAAGTAGTAGACTCGAAAAAGGGCTCCCCCTGGTGGCCAACAGCAGCAGACAAAAAAACAAAAAACAAAACACAGGCTTCTGTCCGACAATTAAATTTGTATTTAAGGGATTTTTCATCTGTCGTTCTAACGTAAATCAATCGCGGTTAAAAAAAAAAACAACTTTTAAACTCAAACTTTCGTAGTCGTAGTCGTTCTTGTTTTTCAGTTGCTTTAATTACGGGGGCAACGTAATATTTTCTCTTTGATCCTCACAACTTTGGAATTGGAATCCAGTGGCGGGCTGGATTTAGCCTGCGAGCCACCAGTTGATGATCACCGCACTAGAGGACTGGAGTTAAAACAGACAGGGAGGTCTGCCTGGTATACACATGGGCTGCACTGCCACCACAGAGCAAAGGTCAAACGTTGACCTTTCCACCTGGGGTCTCCCTGTGTTGTGTACTGTGAGGGGTGGGGGGTCTCTGGGTGACTACACTTGATCCCTCCCTACACTTAGACATTTGTCTCTCGTGAGTCCCTGTGTTGGTGATTAGCTGGGACACCTGTCCCGGGAACAGCTTTATTGGACCAGAGATTGAACCGACTTACGATCGGAGACGCGGCGTTTGGCGCGGTGTCGTCATCACTTCCACGTTTTGTTCGTCTTTAATCGCCCGTAAACACTCAACACATCCGCTACGTGATGAGGTTTTTATATCAGCGTTTCAGACCACAGAGCTACACACACACAGATCTAACCTGTCTCCAGGTGGTTTCAAATCTCTTTGTGGTCTCCGTGGTGTCACATATCAAATGGCCTACTCCCTCTCCCACTACCCCCCCTTCCCACCCCCCCCTTACCTGAGGCCTCGGGGCTTCCAGGAAGGAAGCCAAGGCGGCGCTGTGTCCGCCGACTGATGCGGTCAATCTTCAAACACGCCTTGAAAACTTCTAAGAGACAGACGGCTGAAAGAAGGTGGATCACACAGAGGGAGAGGGCTATAAAAACAAACGCACCTGAAGGAGGCAGCCAGAGGGGAAGACGCAGACACTGGATCAGCTGAATACCGAACATCGTTTCACTTTTTCTTCATTTATATATTTTTTTAATTTTTTTTCGCAAAAGTGACTTTTTTTTATACGATCCCTAAACAGTTGAAAATAAAATTTCCACAAAAACGGTTTTGTTTTAAGCAATAAAAACTTTTTCTTCACCTGGAACCGGTCCCTTCAAGGAGAAGACGACACGTCCAGGACCGACACGCCGACCGACTGATCCAGAAATTCATCCATCCATCCATCGACAGAGCTG